AGAATCCAAGTGCATTGCTTGAGTGTTTGCATTTAGAGGCACTTGGTGTTTTCGTGTTTCGCTGCCGGATTCGCTTGTTACTCTTGATGGTTGCCGCCCCCTAGACGGCTTGGAGCAGCGAGGATCGTCGAGCGGAGGGTGGTGATTGTCTCCTGCTCCGATCGTGGTGATTGTGAGGGGTTCTTGACCTTTCCCCGGTGGAGAGCCAAAAAGGTACTCTAGTGAATTGCTCGTGGCCTGTGTGATCCTTATCTTGTGTTAGTTATGTGGCACCCTATTGAGAGTTTGGCGTGTGATGCCAATTAACGCGTGAACCTCCAAGTGAGTGAATCGCCACAACGAGGAGTAGCTTGCCGGCAAGCAAGTGAACCTCAGTAAAAAATTATTGTGTTCATCATTTGATTCCGAGGTGATTGGTCTTCATTGCTATTGATTGGTTTACTCCTCTACACGGTGGTATAAACAAATCGCTCACTCTCTTTACATTACCGTAAACTAGTTGTCAAGCTCTTTAGTGTAGCTAGTTGTGAGAGCTTGTTAGTTTGGTTAGTGTGGCTCTTTAGTTAGCCTTTGAGAGCACACTAACTTAGTGTAGTGGCATAGCTATTGTGTGGATAGAATCCATATACACTAGAATTGTGGTAGGTGGCTTGCAATATAAGTAGGCTAGCGCAACACTTGCTTCACCTCATAATTGTTTAACCGGTTTGTTAAGTGTTGTTGTAGAAATTTTATTAGGCTATTCACCCCCCCTCTAGCCATTAGGACCTTTCAATGATGAAATACACAATGAAGATTTAAGGAAGATATAGAAGTACGTCGAAGAAAACCCCGAATTAACCATGGAAGAGGCCACAAACATCTATTATGATGTACAATGGACGGGAACACCAGCAATGAAGTATGAAAGGGGCAATCTTTTGGTTCCCGATGACGAGTATAAAAATTTGACAACATATATGCGCCAGCTGCATGAATATTACATGGCTCAAGCAATAGAGATAGAGGACTTTGGTTTTGAGGTTATTATCCGTTCTCCACATGTTTTTCATTATCCCGAATAAGAGAAGTTCGATGTCGAGTGGGAGTGCTTGTTCCAGCTATACCAGATATGCTCTCTCGATTCACAAATGTTGATGTTGTGGACTATGTAAGTACCCCACATGCACGATATTATAATTAACTACTCTCTCGAGACATAAATTGTTAACTTTTGACCAATTCCCATGATTTTATGTAGGTGTATAGCAAAATTTTGCATACTAAAAAGCAAATGGGATAACATAGGCTTCTTGACCCCTTGCGAGTCAATGAGAAGACATGTTTAGGCCTCCATGAATGTGATGTGGAAGACTTGAAAGAGAGATTGATTGATGTTTTTGATGAATTCAAGATGAAGAATAAAACCCACATACTTCTAGCCTACAACTGCAAGTATATGTTCTCGGCTTTTAATTTTATGCTTCTTTTTTTGTTAAGATTATTCGATAATTAGGATTCTGATTGCAGCAACCATTTCGTCTTCATTTGTGTCAATCTTGCTAAAAATTTGATCGAGGTGTGGGCTCAAAGAAAAAACCATTTCATCATCTGGATATACTAGTGACAGTGCTGAATTAGTAAGCGATCCTAATAACATATTATTTTCTAATCACACATACCGCTTTCTAATGTTTCTCCTTTTAATGTTGCACAGTGTCCAAAGAAGACATATCGGTGGGACACAGGTCCCATTCAAGGTTGTTGAAATGAAGAGGAAGTACCTAAAACAGCCAGCGGGAAACAATGAATGCAGGTTTTATGTAATGTGGGCAATGCTTCGTTACATCGGCGGGAAATCAGAAGAAGCAGATAAGTTGGTGTGTATAATCCCCATTTCATTTATGTTTGTTAATAATTCAACAAAATAATTTACTGATTCCTCTTTGGATATCATTTTTTTGAACGACAGCTCAAGAAATATAACCACGAAAGGCTGTTAGACATGGAGATCGTCGCACTACAATAGGAGCTGGCAAAATTCATCTTAGCCGAGGTATTGAAAAAAGATGGAGTATTTTCCATCGCACAATCTGTGAAGTTCAAGGACCAGTATGGCCTAGAGCGGCCTGTAAGCTGAGGTTGTAAGAAGTCTGAGAAGCATGTTTCATCTTATCGAATAATTTCTTTTTTATTTTGAGGGATCAAGTTCTTGATAAGAATATTTGAACTGTAACCGTAACATTTGTAATGTTTAATATCGATGGACCTGTCATCTACGTAGCGTATATAAAGCGAAACCCAATTCCACGAAAAAATATAAATTAAAATAAATTATAAAACAATAAAATGCGAACATGCCATCACTGCCGGTTAGCAACAAACCGACAGCGTTCTCATAACCTTCACTGCCGGTTAGAAACAAACCGACAGTGTTGGCCAAGATGGCACTGCCTGCTTGAGCCATAAACCGGCAGCGTTAGTTTATCCCATCACCGTCGGTTCTTGTCACAAACCGGCAGTGCTCGTTATGACAACACTGCCAGTTAAAACACAAACCGGCAGTGTTTGGTGGAACTGAACTCTGTCGGTTCTTGTCACAAACCGGCAATGCTCGTTATGACAACACTGTCGGTTAAAACACAAACCGACAGTGTTTGGTAAAACTGAACTCTGCCGGGTGGTCTAATGAACCGGCAGTGTTGGTGGACCGGAACTCTGCCAGTTCTATAAAAAACTGGCAGTGAAGTTGAAGAACACTGTCGGTTTATAGGAATCGACAGTGATAGCTGACCCTCATCACTACCGGTATGGTTATGCCGGTTCAAAATCCGACGGTGATGGGGTGTTTTGAACCGGCAGTGAAGTGCTATTCTGACGTAGTGATGACCATGCCACACTTGATCAAGAGGGCTCCGTGCGAGGGAGAATGACTAAGAGAGGATACACTACAACAAAAGAAAATATTTTTGAAAAACATTTTCACCTTTAGGACTGGGCCGATGGTGAAATGATTATCACTGTCTCCTCATTTTTGAAACGGGTGGTGAGAATGAGGCTAAGCCCGTTACATCTAACCCGCTCCAAGCTCATTGTATATATATAAACAAAGTTGAGAACCCTAGCCACTAAACCCTTCCCACTCAGTTGCTAGCCCCTTCTCTCCCCCTTCTCCAGCTGTCGCCCTCGATCTTCCTTCTCTCTCCCTCCCGACATGACCACTGTCCCCTTCTCTCTCCCTTTGGCCACCCTTTCCAGCCACCGTCCTCCCTACTTTAGCCCCTTCTCCACTCAACTCTCTCCACATGACGTGGTTGGCCTCCTCCTTTGCTCTCATCTCTCTTTCGCGCAATGCAACTAGTTGAGATCTAGTGCGCCCAAGGACGCTAAGCCTCATGGCTTCATGCTGACGCCCTGGATGACCTAGGGCAACACGAAGGAGTTAGGTGGCGATGGATGCAAGGTGACGAACTGGCTGACCGGGGCGAATTGATGGGCGGTGCAGATAATGATCATGGAGGTGAGGCCTTCATTCTCTCTCTCTCTCTCTCTCTCTAAATCTCCCTCACCCTATCTCCCTTTCTCACATTTGACCGATAGGAGGGTGTTGCCCCAACGACGGCAGGTGAGGCCATGGGCTCAGTGGCAGACGCCATCGTCAATAAGGGGGGATAGATAGACTTCTTCAATGGGCTTGGTGGGTCGTCTCCATGGCTCACTGAACGTTTTTCTTTAGATTTCAAAGCCAATTATCATTGTCAGTTGGTAACATGAACCGTCAATGATCATCAATTATTATCGCCGACTTTTACCAACGAAGGGTGAAACCAGTGGTGCTAAGGGGTTTTAAACTAGCAATGGTGAGCTCGATCTGTAGCAGTGAGAGAATTGGTGGGAGAGTGCAGTGGTCGATGGATGAGATAGAGGAGAGAAAGGGTTACCATGTAAATGGCCCTAGACCTTTTCTTTTTCTAGATGAGAGAGGTTTGCCTTTAAAAATATGGTATAATTTTTTAGAGATGTGACCTTAAAAGGCTTGCCTTTAAAATTTTATTTGAGATGAGTTGTGCTAAAATCATTTTTGCGATAGTGTGCATGTTGGCAAACCTTCACTAGCTATTTACTCACGAAAATGAGGGAAAATATTCGGTGCAAATCATCTCTTTGGTGAAATCATGAAAACTCTTTAAAACAACATACTTACCTGTTTGACACAGCTCACAACATGAGCTGTTTTTTTGTGTCAAACACTCATTTCGAAAACAGCTTCATGGGTGAAGCTATTTTTCTCCTCCTCTTGCAAAGACATGAGTTGGGATGAAGCTGAAAAAAGTAGCTTATCCTAGCTCTCTCTCCCTCGTTTTCTCTCTCTCTCTCTCTCATCCATGCACGAAGTTGTTGGTGAAGCTGTTCTGCCTAATAGTTTTTCCAAAGCAGATCAGCTTCACCTAGAAAGTTGCTCATAAAACTGTTTTAAAAAATGCTTTATTAGTGAAGCTGAGTTATGCCCAATGAGACCTTAGTAGTTTTAAAAAATTAGAAATGATGCACATCTAGAACACATCTGTATATATAGATATATCTTTATTAGAAAACGTTTCCTCTTAAACAAAAGAGTAAATTGCATGGCCGGTTCTTAAAGTATTGGATTGATTTTGTCTGGGTCCTCAAACTATGAAATCGCAATTTTGGCTCCCCAATCTACTTAATTCGGTCCATGTAGGTCCTAAACAGTCCAGACGGTGTCAAGCAGTCGATGTGGCTGTCCACGTACGTAGGGGAGGCACGTGAGTCTCACGTGACCCTCGGCAGCTACTGGCTTTTTAGCCAAAAAGCCCCCGCATGATCTCATCTTCTCCACCTCACTCCTTTCCTTTCTCTCGGGCCTCGACGAAAGGGGAAAAGGGGCGGAGCGTGGCGACGCCGGCAACTGGTGCTGTTCGCGAAGGCGGCGCGGGCGAGAGCGAGGACGACTCGACGGCCGTGCCTAGAGGGCCCTCTAGGCGCGGGCGGTGGGGGAGATGGCCGTCGAATTGAGCTCGGTGGCAGCGACCAGGAGGCACGGTGATGAGCCACGACTGATTATGTGCCCGAGGTGCCATCGTCATACGGTAGTAAAGTGTCGTTCGAAGCAGTCGTGGTCCTTGGATCAGATCCTCTACACCTGCCCAGATCACAATGTAAGTTAGGTTTGCCAGTTTGAGTTCATTCCAAATCCGAGTATTAGAGTCCAAGTTTTCATGTATGTGCTTTGTCTGTTTGATGAATCTGCAGAAGGATGATACTCGTTGCCCATTTTTTCTTTAGGAGCCAGGATACATCAACCACCTGAGGACAGTTTAAAAAGAAAAGTACCGTATAGCCAATAATTAGCTATTCTTTTTTACTATCTTGTTTAACGTAAGTATGACTATGATATGACACCTTGTCTTTTCTTCTTGTCACATCAAGTCATCATCAGAAGAGTGGGTGAGAGATATACTATCTTGTTTAACGTAAGTATGCGCTTCCAATAAAATTTAGACAATTAAAAATGATTTGAGAAAACACGTTGATCACTCGAGTTTTCTTTTGGAGGCAACGCAATTTTTTGAGCTAGTAGGAACAAAACCAAAGCATATATCTCTTTGTCGACCTAAATTTTTATGATTCAAGAAACGACAATGCTAGCGTCCGGACGTCCGGCCTCTGGCTACGTCCGGACATGACTTTCTGCTTTTCAATTCAAACGAGCTAAACTCTCACAACCCGCATCTTTTCTCCGTGGAAGGCGTACCTTCCATGCAACTTTCTCTCGCAATAGGAGCATGTGCCGTGATGCTGCACACCCATCCCACGACATGGTTCCCTGTCCTCGCTGTGCGCCCTGTCCACCGTGTTGCTTCCCCGTCCTCCATCCTTCATCCCCACCTCCTCCTCATCCTCCACCTCCTCGCTGTTGTGTGTTCCCTTCGCCTTCCTCTACGATGGCGCAAGTAGGCGCCTACTGGCCTCAGGTGCCCGCACGGTGACCCACGGCGGCGCCCTAGTCAGTAGGCGGCTGTGGCAGACCGTCGTGCCACGCCGCCTTCTTCGTGTCCCTGGACGATCGATCCTCCATCGAGGTCCGCACCAAGTCCTGTCGCGCCACCGTCTGTCAGCCACCGGTGCCATTGCAACATGTGCAACTCCATATCTACTTTTGTAATATCCAGATGAAACACTTGCAACATACGCCCAAAATAGTTTAAACATTTGTAACGTACACTCGCAACATATGTCTCAAGCACTTGAAACATTTGAAACATAGGCTTAAAACATGCATGTATAACCATAGCAACATATGCAACACCCAGAATCTGCTTTTACAACATCCGGATGAAACATTTGTAACATATGTCTGAAAAACATGAAACACTTGAAACATACGCTTACAACATGCGTATATAGCCATTGCAACATATGCAACATCTAGATCTACTTTTGAAGCATCCAGATGAAACATTTGAAATATATGTCTAAAATATCATCATGCACTTGCAACATGCGTATATAACCACTGCAACATATGCAACATCTAGATCTACTTTGGCAACATCCAGATGAAACACTTGAAACATACGTCTGAAACACTTGAAACACGGCATCGCTAACGGCCACGACCTTCCTGGTGGGAACTGCGGTAGCCAACAAGCTCGGGTCAGGAGTACATTGAGAACAATAGCCCAACGTACACCTAGGAGCATGCGCATGACTCCCCTTCCTACCGTGGTGTCTTCGGCCGATTGCGGGAAACGATGTCTCGAACGGCGACGACCTCCTCCTAGTGGCGCCAAGGTAGTGGTGGCGTGGTGAACGCCGTGGCCGTGATGAGCGAGGCAGACTGGGGCCCGACAGGGAATGCGACGCAGGGTGCAATAGAGAGTGGAGAGATGAGAAGATGTAGGCCTTGTTCGTTTTGCTGAAATTTAGCTTATGCTAATTTATTGTGAGAGAAAAACATTGTCCGTTCGCTGAAAAGTACCGCTGAAGTAGTTCCAGCGAACAGGGCCGTAGAGGTAAGGAGGCTTGTTGGCCCAGTCCGCTACACATGCATGGGAAGCTAGCGTCTGAACAGACGGACGGACGGACGGACACCCTGATCATATCATTTTCCATCATCCGAGAGACCATTTTTTTTCTTTTGTTGCGATGATCTTATCTAGTATCATTTAATATAAGTAGTGTCTTTGTACATTGTTAACATAGCTGCTACTTGTTGGCACTTGCCTACTTGCTCGTTTGTCTATCTTGTTCTTATTTATTATTGTATTATTATATAGTCTACTAAGGACCTGGTGAGTTTAATTAAACAAAACAAATACTTCAGCATTTATCACGTTGTGATTTCTAAACTAGTCTGGGTTTCGGTTCTAAGGATCCAAACGGGCCGTTATGGAATCAAGAAAGAAATTGCGTCGGTTTCCGGCCCAACAGGCCACAGGATCGAGCCTGCCAGTCTGCCACTCACCTCGGCCCGTTCAAATCCTAACCCTACCAGGTCACCACACCGCCGCCACGAGGGTGAGGGGGAGCAGGAGCATCCACGAGAGGAGATCGAAGGAGATTCCCATTCGCCCCCATCCGTTTCCCATCTCACCAGAAGCGAAGCCGGAGGAGGGAGGAAGGAGATCGCGAGCAGCCGGAGCCGTTGCCGGAACCCGAGAAGATGAAGACGTTCGACCCGTGGCCGGTCTTCTTCCGCCGGGAGTGGAGGCGCAACTGGCCCTTCCTCACGGGGTTCGCCATCACCGGCTTCCTCATCACCAAGATGACGGCCAACTTCACCGAGGAGGACCTCAAGAACTCCAAGTTCGTCCAGGAGCACAAGAGGCACTGACCAACCAGGTGAGCTCCCTGATCCGTCCGCTTCTAGATCTGCCCCTCCCCTGGTTGACGCTTGTATGCGATGCCGATGCCGCTAGTGGATGCGGCGCGCTGTTTCCGCGATCCGTTCTGGGGATCGATGCCACTGCCGCTAGTGATGCCACGCGATTTATTTTTTGGGGGTCTTGTAGCCTAGCCTAGCCTATCCTGTTGAATGATCATAATTCATAACACCTTTGATTGATGCCATTGCTGTTAGAATTTGCAGATTGGAGTAGCACCGATGTTTCAGATAGATTTCTATCATGCGGTAGTTAGTTTCATTTCCCAACGGCAGTGATTCTTAGCTATAACACCTTTGATTGATGCCATTGCTGTTAGAATTTGCAGATTGGAGTAGCACCGATGTTTCAGATAGATTTCCATCATGCGGTACTTAGTTTCATTTCCCAACGGCAGTGATTCTTAGCTTCTCATTTCTGGTGGTCATTCTAGCATTTATGCATTAACAATGTTATTATTATCACATTAGTGTATTTTGGGAACAGCAATCTATGCCACCGGCACAGGGATTTTGTAGGGTCATTGTGGCTTGAATCCATCGCTGGTGCAACCTGGCATCAGTGATGACGTGCTGTAGATCCGTTTTCTGTATATTTTGTACACTGATGGCCCCCTTCAATGTCCTTAATCATCTCCTATAGCAAAGTTTGATGGGTAATTTTCATTTATGTTGGAAAGCTAAAATTTAACCAGTATATGCATTCGGTGGCATTGACCCAAACTCCTTATTAGCTGCGCCTGGCCATATTTGACACCTTATTAGTATCAGCTAGTAGCACGTGTCTGGACATTAGTCAGATCAAACTTGTTACCAAAGTGGCAAACAGCTAGCAGTGGCGCTAGTAGATAAATGGCTACTTTTTTTTATGTTCTTGATGACTTGTGGAGGATTAATTGGTTGTCCATGCTAGTTTCTTTGTGATTTGGTTCACATGATAAAAATTCTATAAAAAAGGTTTATCATAATTGTGAAACCTATAGGGAGGATCTCTACAGGATGCCTCTGCAAAACCTCAACCATGGTCAGCAACTAAAGCCTTACCTAAATTATCTGTGCTCCTAGCTAATTTTCTGTTATGTTGACATGCCTGAATTTCATCATAAGTGAAAAAACTTCTTGTGGCAAAGAGGGTGGACTGTGTCCTTTAGAATAAATAACTGTATCTAACCACACATGGATTGTTGGGTGTGAGGTAGCAGCTCATCAGTAGAATTAAACTCTTAATATGTATATGAGCATTGGCATAGATGAAGTTAATTGATTGTTGAGGTCTTTTAGGACATGTGGATGATCTAAGCCATTGCCTGTATGCTGTTTTAGTCATGTTGAACATCTCCAACAACTCTCCTTTCCTCAAATCCCTAAAACTGGTTATTGGGGAATCCCCTTTAACATCGAGGAATTAAAGGATGGCTGCTCCACCAGTTACCAGTTCCCCTGTTTCTATATACGCCCCCCCCCCCGGCACGGTCTTCAAACTCTTTCAACACCACAACACCATAGTAATTCAAACTCATGTCATAAACAATTCAAGACCATTTCAAATCCATAGTTTAGAAATATCGAAGCATACTTGTGTGATATGTAATATAAAAGCAGGTAGAATTTAGGAACACAAGCCATGCTCAAAACAGTTGTAAGATAATCCAAAGCTGATGCAAGCATGTTGCACTATACGGGTTCATCACAAATGGATCATACCACTCAAGCTAGGGGAGGTGAGAATTGGACAGGAGCATGTCAACCTCAGCGTTTTGAAAGCGACGCACAAAACAATTGGGGGCCTCATGGACGACCTCCTCTGCTGCAGTTGGTGGCTGCCATGGCTGCTGACGTTGGATGTGCTACTGCTGGCAAGGGGGCCGGGTGTTGCCCACGACACGGAGGGTGGTGGCGAGCGGCCTGGTGGAAGTGCATGTGGCAGAGGATAAAAAACAGGAAAGGGGAGAGGGGCGGTGTCCACTTTCTTTAGGTGACAGGGAGGGGAATAAAACTGTATCTGACCATATTTGACACCTTATTAGTATCTGCTCGTAGCACATGTGTAAACCTTATTAGAATCAAACTTGTTAGCAAATTAGCAAACAGCTAGCAGTGGCACTAGATAAAAGGCTACTTTGGCTGTTGATATCCTTGAGGACTTGTGGAGGATTAAGTAGTTTTCCATGTTAGTTTGTGATTTTGTTCACATGTTATCTATGTTTTAAGGTAAAAAGATGTTTAAAAGGTTTCTTGTAATTATGGAACTGGAACCTATAAGTAGGATCTGCAGGATGCCTTGCAAAATCTCAACCATGGTTAGCAACTGAAGCTTTACCTAAATTATCTGTGCTCCTGGCTTGATAGGATTTGAAGCTGCTGTTTCTGTCTAATTTTTTGTTGTGTTGGGATGCTAGGTGGACCGTGTCCTTTAGATGAAATTACTGTATCTAACCACACATGGATTGTTGGGTTTGAGATATTAGCTCATGGGTAGAATTTAACTCTTAATGTGTGAAGTTAATTGACTGTTGAGTTTTAGGACATGTGGACGATCTAAGCCATTTCTGTTTGTGCTGTTTTAGTCATGTTACTTGTCAAAAAATCTAGAAATGGCTGTATGGGACCCCTTTTTTTTATTTGAAAATCGTTGAAATATCCAATGAGATTACTCTTTCCCTTTCTGAACTCTTGTGTTTATCACTGCTAAATCCATGTTTAACATTATCTGTGTTTGCTGTTTGACATTTGTCATGTTGACATGCTAGATAAGAATTTGACTAGTGAAACAGTTCCTGGTCGGCCGTTGACATTACTGCTTTCATCCTTTTTCAGTTTTTGTCATATAAGCTTTCAGTACCCGTTAGAAACCTAGGGAAACTATCATTGTCTACAGTCTTACTGAAAAATGGTAGGACACCTTTTTCTTTCCTGTCAAAATGTTCCCTAGGAATCGTAGAACCTATTAATAAAATCTGTAGGAAACATGTTCCCTACTGTTTTAGCTTGTTTCCTAGGAACTCAAACAAACTGAGAGATTTTAGTAGTGCTGTATCGCCTCTAAAAGCCATACTTCACATTGTCTGTGCTCACAGTTTGACACTGCTCACTTGTTCATGCCATTCTTAGCCTCTTGTGCATTTGGGACTACATACCCTATACTTTAGTGTTTAACGCTTACATTCCCTTGCAGGTGAAAGGAGTTGTCCGAACTGTGTGGACAGCCAGTTATGTTATGCTGTTTGAATGAAGAACTAGCCCCCGCATTTTCGTTTGTTTTTTTGATCTAAATGCGTGCACTCTATACTCCATTTGTAATGAAATAAGAGGCAAACTGAATTGAACCAACAGCAATCAGCTTCTGATTTTGATGCTTCAAGTTTGATGGTTTGCTGACCTGATATGTGTGGCATCGATCTTTTTATATGAATATGCATTCAACAAATGATAATCCATGTGTGGCTTTTCTGATGTTGGATTTCATCTTATCCTCTTAATTGAAACTGGTAGCGAAAACGGAGATTTTGCTATATTATTGGAGCCTAATGAAAATGAGGGGTGGAGACCGTAGATCCTGTATAGTATTCAGCGCATGGTTTTTAGCGTATGGTATTTAGCGCTTCACTGTACAAATTGTGGAGTATACTAGTAGTGTATCACGAGTTAATTGTAGAGAATGCCCGTGTCTACTCCCCAAGTCTGAGGCCAAATCAGAGGCAACGAGGCAGCTCGGGACCGTCTGAAACAAAATTCGCTGCTGCTGCTGCTGCTGCTGTTTCGAGGGAGCGTGAGTTACTTTTTTTTGTTAGTTTGTTTATGTGCAGGAATATACATAGAGACGACATATTTTGCCCTACATAAACTGAGATCAACGCGCATACAAGAAGTCTCACAAGTCATATACGTACGTGTTGAATGCGTGCTACTGCTACATACGTTACTATGCGTGATAGGTGCTGTTGCAATATAACCGTTTGCACAAATTCGGTGTTAAGTCTTTGTCCGGGAGACCGGGACAGTTGGGTTGCGTTTGGTTTGGAGACAAAATAGAGTGAGATGGTCCTGTCTAGTTTTAGTTGATGGTTTGGAGAAAAAGTGAGTGAGATGGTCATGTCTCGTTTTTAGTTGAGAAGGATGTGGATCGATCCGTTTTCTGTTTGTCAGGGATATGAATGTGACAATGACGTGCGTGACCCAATTGTCTGATGAGACAATATCCACGTGTCTGTTTGATGAGACAATGTACACGCGTCCGTCCCACCTGGGATGACTTTGTGGCTTAGTTTAGTGGGATGCCCATGTCCTTGACTTTGACAAGACATTACTAGAACTAAATCCGTCCCGTCCTGGCCCGGCCCACTTGATCCTTCTAGGTGTCACCATGCTGGTGTTGGTCCGTCGGAATGGATTCCATCTCCATTTAAAATGAGAGGAGGTTTCGCGTCCGTTTTTGTAGGATCCCATTTTCATCTGAGATTAATTTGTATTTTATCTTGTTTTTAATTTATTTGAGGTATGTCTAACAATTATGTTATTGTGCTATGTTAATACACCTAACGTACTAATATACATGGTATGTAAGTGAATATTATACCGATAACTTTATAGGTGCATATTGTTGTGTGACTTCATGCATGCATACTTGAAAATATTAGATCATGTGATATTGACTTAATTTTTTGGTTCTCTATTTATATTTGTGTTAAAGTATGAAATGTAAGTGAACAAATCAACTCTATGCCAAAGGACATGCCATTTGGTGGTATGGTAACCACCTAATGCAATTACTAATGCCTACTCTAGTCTTGATGAGATCACCTAGAAGAGTTGTCTATTTGGAGAGGCATCTTGAAGAGGTTTCTATTCAAAGAGGCACTTGTTTCATAGCATTCCCTCTTGATCGAATCTTCCTTGAGATCAATGCAGCTCAAACTATGTAGCTGAATTTCCTCGAAAAACCCTATGGGGAA